GCCCCACTGGGGAGCCTGGGGGAAAAGCTGGCAGACAGTGCCTGCATCTACCCCCTCAGAAACACCCCAGGTAGCAAACTGAATCTACGACCCAGTGACCACAGCATGGAGACAAGAGAGACAGCTTTGAACCAGCCCAGCAAGGCACAGAGAACAAACAGCATGCCCGCAGCAGTATAAAGCGGCTCTGGGGCAGGTCTGCCAGCCCATGCTGGGCTCTGCACGGCTGCTAGGCTGGAACTGCTTCAACGCACACACCCTTTAGCAGAGCAGGCATGATCATCACCAGTGGGGAAAGGTAGGTGTGGTAACTCTTAAAATTAGGAAACTAAGGCAGAGTGACTCATCCAGGATCAAAGTCTGCAATTAAGCAAGAAATAGGCTGTGGGTTCCCCGATTCCCACAGATGATGACAGCACTGCGAGGCAAAGGCCTCCTCTAGTTCATCTAGCATCATAAAAAAAACCTGCCAGCTTTTAGGAAAGCCTGTATATATGAAGCTCATTTGAAAAAAAAAATCTCACGCCAAATTTAAGAAACGTTATAAAAATGGAGAACAGAAGAGTTTCATCATTCAAGCAAGACTTTGTGGACGTAAGTGACCTTTGGCTGTGCAGTAATTTAATTTCCTAAGAACATGAGCAAAGTCTCAATTAGGACAGAGAGGACCAATGTACTGGTATGAGAGGGAAGAGAAATGTGCTGCTGTACTGCTGAAGAGTATTTCTCATCTCTGAGGGACTGGAGATGTGGTGCAAGGAAGCATTAGGGCCTCTTGGCAAAAGCAAGCGAGGCTGCATGCTTGGTATGTAAAACAGGACAGCATACACCACAGGCAGAGGTAAAACACAGAAGCAAAACACTCGGCCAGTGGCTTTCAGATCACAGGCAGCTTTTTGCTGCTTTCTTTACAAATGAGAGCCAGGTACCATGGCTGCCATCAGAGAAACAGACTAATATAGAAGAAGCCAAGGGAAAAGTAGAGGAACAATGGAAAAAAAGAAATTATCCAAATAGCAACAGATTATGAATGCTGCTTAATGGAGTGAAGCCTGAATGTTACTTGGTGCAATCCTGATGGGCCCAATTTAACTATTACATTTTCACACAATATTTTTTATGCTGGCTATGAAGAACTGCCTGACTGCCCTTGATGAGGTTCAAAAGTTTCTGTCAGCTAAGTAGGTCTTTAAAAGTAAAGCACATTAATCGGAGAAAAGACTGATAAGGAGTGGATGGCAACAGAAATAATGCCAGGGGTGAGACATTGCTGTTAGTCTGTTGCCCACAGAAAAGCTGCTCAGGAGGTCAGTGGACAGCACAGCGCAACACAGAACCACTTCAGTGAGAACAGTTCAGGGAAGGACATTTCTAGACACATAGGCTCCTACAGCATGTTTTTATCCAGCAGAAAGATGAATTGCACAACTTCCAGCAGCCACTCTTCATCTGTGTATCCCTAATCCTCCTAAATCCCAAACAAGTTGGTGACCCTACAACACCAAGTCTCATGCCTGCCACTCAAACCACAACAGCCCACTTTTTACTTTTAAATCTAAAGTTCAGTTTCAGACTCGGGTTTATTTCTGATTTGATTCAGAAACATCTATCTGAAGTTGAGTTTATGCCAGTGACAAGTGAATCACGGTTGTGGGGGCAGTTTCTTCATATTGAAACAGACTGGTAGACGTTACCCATCCAAAATGCTATCTTTGCAAATGCAACATCTCAGGACGTCAATTATGCAATGTTCCACTTCAGCTACTTGGAAGACTTATTTAGGATGAGCTCCTTTCCTCCCCCTCCAACAAGCCCATGAAGTATCTGATCTGCAAACCCTTGCACATACAAGAGAGTTACTTGCTCAAGGGTTCTTTTTTTTTTTTTGGCAAGGTTTTCAAGAGCACTCTGAATTTAAAAGCAACATTTTTTCTCCAGAATAGCCCCTTGCTGAAAGGCCACTCTTAAAAGCTGCGTCATGTCTGCCTGCGACATTAGTACACATGCTACGTATATTAGTTGTCACTGGAACAATTGTTGAGGTGACTGCAGCCTGGGCTTGCCTCTTTTAAATATCTCCTCATCTAAACATGAGGGCTGTATTTCAATAACCAAGCCCATACGGACACACTAACAGTGAGATAAGGCTCCAAAGTATCTGCAGGTGCTGCTAATGCACCCACAAAAAACATTGTCAGAAATACAATTCTGCTTTTGGGATTTCAGATGCCAAGCAGAGAAATTCAAACATCCAGGTGGGAAAGTTAAGAGCGCAGTAGTCCCTGCTCCCCCAAAATCCCCCAGTGTTTCAGTCACCATGCAGATCTTCATGTTCTCATGTTAATCTGCAATACCTATAACCAGGAAAATATACCAAGTGCAAACCCTCAGCAATGCTACTTAATGAGAAAGCAGGAGACATTCCTTTCAGACCCAGCTGGGTGCCTGAGCAGAAAGCTTACCCCATCTGGTAGTGCCCTCCAGCATACAGCACTCACAAACTCATTTGTGTCATCTTCTTTCCGGTCCTTGTCCAGGACACTTTTGACTGTATCAAACTTGAATGTCAGCAGTGTCTTTGAGAGGCCTTTATAGTATAGGTAGAGAGAATTATTTTCACTTCCTAGAAATAAGAAAATAAATATACAAGATTAGGTTCTGGTAGCAGGAACAGAAATAAGGCTTCTTAGCTCTTTCACTATGACAAGAACAGACATTTCCTCCTTGTAGTTATCACGCTCATGGTGCCCTGGCAACTGGGAGTACTCCACAGCAAACTTCCGCAATACTTAATAACAAGACCGGGTTTTATTACAAGACTGCTGCAGTATGCAGCACACTTGCAAAACATACAGGATCCCAACTGTTCCCGTAACTTCCTTAGGGCAGAGCATCTACGCTATACTAGTGAAATACTGCTACACCCAGCCGGCTTGGTGTTACAGCTCAAAGGCAGGTAGCACTGTGTTTGCTTTTCTTGCTGTAATCAAGTATGACAGTTTGGTCTGTGGAGGTTTAAGTAAGAGACACTAGACAGTATGCAGGCTTTATTAAGAAATCCTTCCCAACTTTTGCCTTGCAAGCTGTACAGAGATCAGAGAATACACAAACTAAGGTCCTCTCTTCAGTGTTGGCACAGCTGTCCTGCTCATCCCACCTATCAGCCTGTCACTGCTTTCCCACCAAGGCCTGTGGATTTACAGAGATTCAACAGAACTTAAGTGGTGAAAGGACAGAAATGGCCAAAGGGATAATTGCTTCAGGATGATTCAGTCTTCTTGGGAGCTATTCACAGTGAGGGTGTTAATGTTTTATTACACAGAATGCTGTACTATAAAGTACAGGATCCTTGTGTGGTCCAGGCTACTGCCCTTCCTTAGAAAGGTGCAGGAGTTTATGTCAGATGTTAAACTTACGTATGACTTACGAAAGACATAAGTTATATTAATAGCAAATACACTAGTAGCTGGTTTTTGGTGACAGCAAGTCTGAATCATCATATACAAAGAACTCATCTGAAACAGGAGGAAACTGGCAACAGACCCCCTTAGGTCAGGGCTCCTTATACCACTCCCTGGGAAGGGAAGGAGGCTGGAGGTTCAGAATAATCCTCTGCTAAAAAGTCCGTGCAGTAATGTAGCACAACTGCTGGTGTGCTTTGCAACTGGAAAGGCACCAGCTCCAAGGAGCCCCGTTAGCATTTGTCAGGATGCTCTACTCACCACAGGCAATGTAGTCTCCATTGGATGCAAGCCCTACAAAATTCTTCTCGTTGATGTGACCCTTGAAGGAGCGCAAGCAGTGAGGTTTCCCTACGTTCCAGAGCTTCAGTTGACTGTCTGTTGACCTGAAAACAATACCTGAAGTTACCCTGCTGCCATACAGCAGGAACTCCTTGCTTGCACTCCTGCTCCTTAACACCCTACTTGCAACGTAAGCATAGGAAATCTTAGGACACTCCAGAAGATTTATCACACTTTCAATCATATTCAACTCAGCTTGAGCTTGGAAAGGTATCATGTTATTTTAGAAGCCTGCCAAAATGTATTACGTGTTTGAATAAAACTTCCCCAAGTACTACTCTTCCTTAATCCCATCAATTGCAAAGCCTTTAGGCTATCGCTGACTCCTCCAGATCCTCACAGATCTAGGACACACTGTTTTTGTCTTTTCTTTTTTTTTTTTTGAAGCCTCTACAGCATGGACAAAATCTGTTCCCTTCTCCATGCTGGCTGCAATTCTCATTCATGCTTTTACAGAACTTGGGAAGCAAGCAGTCTCCTCCCTCTGCAGCTGCCCTGAAAGCATGTTCTCCTCCTGCCCAATACCAAGCAGCAGCATATAAAAACCTATGGAGGCTCAGAGTTGCTATTAGCATTAATGTGGTTTTCTCGTATGTAATTTGAGACTGAATGGATACAGATCCCTAACTTCCACTTCTTGCATCTTGGCAGCAAAGCTAAATATTGCTATTAAAAATATAAAGACTCTGTTGGGATTAAACCAAAATTGATGTTTTCCATTGTTCCCCACATGCAAACATACCTGCCTTCAAAATGTGTTTCTATTTACTCTACAAACATTTTCCCTTTGGCAAAAGAAAAGAGATGGAGATAGTTTCCTCTGCCTGGCAGAGCTCAACTGAAACAGTAATACTCCAGGTTTCTGTAAGACACATGATAAATTTCTTCCCCTAAACCTGAGGGGACATGACCCTCTCTTACTTTACAGGTGTTATTCTGTAGAAGTTGCCAGGCTCTGATATTTTGGCATTCACTGACTTACAGTGAAACACTCCACAGCAGGGTAACAAATGGTGATCTGGTGGGACTGGAGCCCTATGTAGCACCCTTGAGGAAAGGGATAATGCTGTTCTTATCTTAAATTTGAAAGATTGGGAGCAGGACCTGTCAGGCTCCTGGGTGGGAGGGAGGGGAAGCAGTCAATGATCCCCTCACATATGCCACGTCACCCAACCTTGCTGCTTTCTGAATATTTAGCGTTGAAGGGGAAAAAAACCTCACCCAATATCCAAATATTGCCAACAACGTAAGACATAAGCCCTTCACCTATGTCACATTTACCTAAAAATACAGCATAAAAGAGGAGAGATGCACCTTGTACTATACTGCAAAAACCAAACCTTATCTGTCCTCAGTGACAGCTGGAATGACAAAAGAGCGATAAAGGAGCTGCAGCAAGATTTGTTGCTCATTTGTAATAACAGTATGAGGTCAGATCAGAACAGAGGTATGAACTTCATCTGTAATCCTGTGACTTAAGCAGGAGTGCATTCCTCATCCTAGGTCTTGACTGGTGGGTGGGCCTAAAACAAGAGTATTCTGTTTCTCTCCCTGATGCTTGTTCCATGTTCATCCTACCTTACGCTGCTGCTCAGTGTCCCTTCCCTTCTCTTGTCCTTACCATTACAATAGCAGCATAGCTCACAGAAAGGGCAAAAAGATGCATGATACTGCTTTTTTGGCCCACAAGTACAGAGAGATGCCTTCTGTTCTATTAGGGCAGCTGTATTTTTAGATACAGCTTCCCTAATACTGCTTCTAAAAGCTTCAGAGTTGCCTGGAAACTAAACATTTCTAAAAGCAGAGTAAAGCAGAAAAACACTAATCCCTAGTCTACAAGCTGTCAGATTCCTGTGACAGCTTCTGCTATTGGCTAAGCCATCAAGAAATCATATATATACGGGCACTTAACCTCTGTATTTTAGTAGCATACATTCTGGACCTCTTTGTTAAAATAAAACCACTTAAAAGTCTATTACTAATGGAATGCTTTTACTGTTGACAAATTCCCATCAAGCTCTAGCCATGTTTGCACTGGGTAGTATAAGCATGCCATAGAAGAAGAAAGTCATTCACCACTGGACTGCAAGGAGAGGATGAAGTCATTGATCCTTTTGGTGTCACACTGCTGTTTTGGTTTCATACCCTCTCCAAAAAAATATCATGGATGCACTGCTCTGTTAAATCTGTCTCTCTGTAAATCAGCACTGCAATCAATGAGTTGTGCTAAATACCAGGCAGTTTTTAACATCCTTGAGGTCAAAAACCAACTCTACAAGGCAAAGTAAATGCAATCTATAAAACAGCTTTAGCTAAAAATCTAGAGAATCTGAATATACATATAATTTAAAAAAATCAGAAAAATCAGTGCTTGATTTTTGGGAAATCACTACTGCTGTCTCCTCTCCTCAGTTTGCAAGAGACATGAAAAATAATCTGTTCTCTCTGACATTTCTTTCTGTTCATGCAGAAAAAGATAGGTGAACCCTCCACTTAGTCCCCTCACCCTACCATTGCCCGTCAAAGTCTGACAGCTCTAGTGATATTCCTCCCTGTGACTGTGGGATAAGCTTTCTCAGATGGTCAGCTCAAGCAGGACAGGGCCATTCTGTCCTGAAACATCCCATAGATGATGTTCTGCTTGATCAGGTCTGTAAAACACTCAGCCTCCTCCTGCTTCTAGTAAACACTACCTTATTATTCAGATTTGGTTTAAAGCATTAAATTTAAAGTTTGTGTGTTCTAGGTGTGAATTTGCACGCATATAGAGTTATGTTAAAGGAAATAAGCAAAAAGCTAATGAAATACAAACAGTACCAGAAGCCACCAGGGAATCTTCTACTACACAGCTCAGCATAACTTACTAACAGCCTAAGTACACCTTAAAATGCTCTGCTTTGGCTCCAGTTTTCTACTGCAAATGGTGTGAAAACACGGGGCAAAGCCACGCTGGATAATCACTGGCTTGGTACAAGACAGCAAGTGTACTTTATGGGACTAGATTTATCCCTGTGATCCCTTCCTGCT